TTCAAAAATAGGAGGGTCCGAGGTGTACAAGTGCCGGAATTGTGGAACTGTAATGGATCGAGATGAAAATGGCGCTCTGGGAATCTTTCTCCGGGCATTGCTTGATGGAGCCTTGATTCTCTCCGGAATCATGCAGGAAATAGTAGTAATAGTGGTAGTATTGATATGTCACAATCCATCCGGTGAATATACACCTAACACTGCTTTGCAACCAGCCAATCGGGATAATAATTATTTTTTGCCCCCTTGTGTTAAGTGTTACTATTACGTGACAAATACAATAAACTCTAAATAAAAGTCATTAACTACGCAAATATCACTAAAGCATGATGAGATTGTCCACATTAAATATATTGTATTTTGGTAATGGAGGTGTGGCACAATCATAAGAACAGGCTTGTACACGAGATTTACAACATATAATAATAAATACACTATCTTCTGGAGAAGTCAATTATTATCGAGAAGACAATCATTCTCTCTGTCCAAGTATAAGAAGAGTAAGACTATATATGTATTTATTTAAGACAGCTAAGCATTACTATTACGTATATGAAATGTCTGTATCACATATTTTGAACGTGGCTTATTTACCGAGTTTAGGCGATTGTATAAAAATGATTGATTGATTGGAGAATAGAATAAATGTAATGGCACCGATATTTTGTTTCACACAAGTTTGTTCAATCAACTGCTAACTTACCAGCCTTCCTATAAGTAACGCGTACTTATCATTCATGAGTGACCCACCTTCATACACGCCGAACGACCCGTCATTGCCAAAACGGAAAATTCCATCTTCAGTTGCTCCATCACCTGATGCTAGATCGAATGAACGAGGTCTGGGACGGAAGGGATATAAAGTAAACAAGACGTCAGCACGCTGGCGGGTTTTGTTTTGTTTCCTGGCCAGCATTTATGTGTACATTTTTGCTGTGGCCGCTTATATCATATACCTATATTGGAGCTTTGTAAGTATTTTATACACCAATCAACATAGGAAATAACAAATTTGAAATTACCTCATTCTTTATTTTATTACAGCCTCAACGTGACCCGATTCTAGAAAGTATGAAACTATTCGTGGTTGGATTTAGCATAGAAATGGTATACAGATTATTTGAGATAGCGCGAATTGCGCAATGGACACATGGAAGAGTTAATGTCATATTGGGCATTGCCATGGTGTTCGGTACGTAATAAGGAAATAAGTAATTTCTGGAAAACCGCTCATCCCCATAATAATGCAATTTTAACCTATTTGATAGGTAAGAAAGACCTGTACGTAGCGTTTGGAAAGGTAAAGCTAAAAGTGTATCAATATTTATGCATGCACGGCCTCAGTGACATGATATTGTGCACATTCTGTGGCTGTTCCATAGCAGCCATAATCACTCTTCCAGACACTGTATCTGCTACATTCAAGATATGGTACATTCAGCTGATGGTTCTCTTTACGATTCACCTTGTGCGCCAAACACTCATGTATTTGCTGCCGCCTGAGTGCTGGTGTTGGGAATGTGAATGTAATTGTAGCGATGGCAATTGTTATGACTGTAGTTGTGGTGACTGTAGGAACTGTGGTTGTTGTGACGGCTGTGGTTGTGGTGGCGATGACTCTGACTCTGATGGCTGTAGTGATTTTGATTGTGATGACTTGTGTGGCTGTGATTATTGTGACTCTGGCTGTGGTAATTGTTGTGATAATTGTTACAGCTCTTGCAACGGTTGTTGGGACGGTTGTTGGGACGGTTGGAATTGTTGTGCTAACTGTGGTGATTGTGGTAATTATGGTAACTGCGGTAATTGTGGTGAATGTAGTAACTGCTGTGGCTGTTCTGACTGTGGAAGCTGGAGTTGCAATTTTGATTGTGATTGTTGTGATTTGGACTGCGATTAGTCATAACGAAGACATACACTTACTTCTGTTGTTAATTGATTCTACTTTCTTCTTTGTACTTTAAATAAACGTCCTTTTATACAAACTCTACTGAAACCCTCGCAAAAATTCAGTGAAAATCATGCTACGAGCGTCTTTTCATTTCTTTTATTTATACGCGAGGTCAAAGATATTATTTTTAGATGTAATATAAATTATAGTAACTCAAAAAGTTTTAATTAATAAAATGAACACAAAAAGATTCATTTCTTTTATGTAAAAGTCCGATAATTTTTAATCTCGTTAATAAGAATAAATCAACTCTTTATTAAACAATTCAATATCTTGTTGAGTATCACATACTTAATACTGGCAGAAAGATTTTTCAAAGCCTCATTTCTGCCAATGCTGTTGATGTTTAAGGCAAATGGATATGAATGCTCTTTTATACATACGTAACCATTGTAAACTTCTTCTACAGTTTTAGATACTCTGAACAAGAATTTGCAAATATTGTACCATCAGTTAGTGGGTTACCTGTGGGCAGTGGTGCTAATATTCCCTATTTTCTTATTAATTTTCTATAGGATAACGAAAGAATATATGTGGGTTTCAGAGGCCGTCTTAATTCGAAGTCGTTACAATTAAAATTAATATACTGGTGGCATCAATGACGTATACTTACCGTATTAGGAACCTTCTACAATATGCAGAGTGTGACCAATGGAGTGAATTCTTTTTCGCAGTACATCGTGACGAACTGAAAACTAACGCGACTATTGCCGTTTCCTTTTCATCTTTTTCGGTGTGTATGAAATGGATTGACCTGGCCCAGTCTTTCCTGGCTGTCTACTATTTTTTGAACTATCTCGATCACGCTTGTAGAGCTAATCAATTGTTCTTCCAACTCTCTATCTTATGGAGAAATGAATGAGATGCGTCCCACCAGAGTTTCGGCATTCTTAGGCAAGGTACTAATAAACAGACCATTATCAGCACATAGTAATAGGGCACAGTTATTTGTCCCGGTTATAAAAAGGTAGTTTATTAGTCGCATTAAAAATATCATATTTTTTCTCAAAAATTCTAAACCTCTAAGTTATAAAATAACCCGTCATTTACATGACATCGCGCATGAAGGGTTTAGGTTTAACGTCAAGCTATATTAAAATTCGGGTACTGGTTTACAGTACTACTTTGACATTAAAATAACGCGCAAGGTCACGTAAAATTTTATTAAACAGATGTGCAAGAGTAACATGGAAAGGATTATACTAAAACAAAAAATAAACGATGAATTAGAATGGTAAATTTATGAATTCAGTTAAATGCTCTAGTCATTCGGTTACCTCGCTTCCATGATTTGTCTATAAACGGATTATGCGTATCTCCAAATCGAATTCGCCGATATTCCAAGTACTCTTTACGTAGCTGATCGACAGCTTCATGAAGGGATGCTATTTTCCCCGTTACAACCATAAAGCTATCGTGTTGGAAACGCAACGTATCTGAAATAGCTGGTGAAAATATAAACAAGATGAATAAAGATAAACAGTTTGAGCGAGACTATTTAACCAGCATTTTTGATGTACCATTTTTAAGCGCTTGTTCATTTTCTGCTTGTGTAACCGCAGACATGTGTCGTTCAAGTTCCTAAAAATTGAAAACCAAATTATGTCACCGGTCTACTTTCTTTATGACAATATTTATGTTTATTGATGCATACTTGGATGTATTCATTGTACTGATCAAGCCTTTCTTTTAGAGATGTGATGAGATCTTGGAAATATCTACAAGGAAAAAATACATATTGATTAACAATGTTTGGAGGGTATTTCCTAGATCACGTGACAACTTACTTGAGTGCTCCATTTCCAGAGACTTGATGGTATCTGTCATCCTTTTCCATGAACTCGCTCACTCTAACTGCATGATCCATATATGCTCGTTGTCTTTCAAAGTTTTGCAAAAGATCCTTAACAACTCGCTCATCCGTCTCTAAATGGTTTCTCAGCCTTATTACTTTCTAATCAAATGTTAACGTATTTAGCTTCTATATCATATCAGTCATTATAACAACAGCGGCGTAAAATTGATGCTTACTGTTGTAACTTGATGAACTTGCTTTGCAATTTCTTCGTGTCTAGCTTTTGCATCTGGCAGTGAAGTTGTTTTTATTGTTCCTGACACTTTTTTCTGTTGTTCTATATAATTTCTATCATAGCCTTTGTTAAGGAAAACAAGAAAAGACCAACAAAGACACAACATATTTGCTCGCAGCATTGGACATGGCAATTTAAAGGATACTCAACGTTCAATAAATGCTTTTTTACATCCTCGGGCAAGTCTATGAATTTTGTTGCTCGCGTAATGGATTCAAGTCCAGTAACCTGCTGTGTAGCAGTTATGCTATAATCAATGACATTGATTAATTTACCAGTTCCTCGGTGTTTAGAACAGAAAAACTGAACGTACCCTCCTAGTTGTCCGCCTAATGTAAATCCAGATCCAGTCGGTGCCTGAGATGAATACAAACTAGACGAAAATCCTGATTGACCACCCAAACCTCCACCCAACCCTGTTGATAGATGTGGCGGCTCTATAAATGTAAGAAAGGTCAGAGACTGGGAATATGCTCTCTCGTCAGCGGAAATAATAATTGCAATGGGCTAGTCGTGTTATTTACTGTTGCAAAATACTTACTGCTTCCTCCCAGAGTGAATCCGGTAGATAACGATCCTTGCGATTGTCCTCCAAATGCTCCAAGGCCACCTAACCCTACCCCGGTAGTACTCGCACCAAACAATCCTCCTGGCTTTGAAGTACTGCCCGCACTTCTGAAAACAGAACTTTGCAAAGCAGTGTTACTAGTGGTGGTACTCGTCCATCCACTGAACGACGGTATCGCGCTTGTTTGCGTGTTAGTGCTCGCACCGAAGCCAAAGGTGAGGGGCTTTGATGTCTGACCATACATGATCTCTGTGTGTAAAGCCTATAGAGGTATTGTCGTGGAGTACCCGGGGTAGAGAACGGTGAATGAACAGAGAAGAGGGATCGACGTGTACACTTTAGCTTTTTGACCCTTTTTTAGAGTCGTTCCACGTGGTTTGCAAAAAGTCGAAAATTTTTTCTGCCAGCGCTTTGTTCAACACATCTCAATTCGCTATTTGTCTGTCTTAATATGACCATTGTAAAGTTTTTAGTAACATCAGACAAAAGTAATATGCATATAGTAATATTGTTTTGTCTCCTAAACTTTACAAGGCATTCAATCATCTAGCATTAGTGCTCTTGTGTAACTCAGTTGTGGAACAATGTTGATTATTATTATTATTATTATTATTATTATTATTGGTTTTGAATAGAAAAGACGCGATGAATTCAAAGTGTTAATTGTCTATATTGGCCAGCAGAAAGTTTGCGTGTCCAATAGTAACTTGATGTTTCGTTGTACCACACAAGGCGGCGGATTTCATGTCAAGCGACATTGCATTTAGGCGCGTAGTTTTCCTCAGCAAACGTTGTCTTCAGCATTTCGATTTTATATTTTATTTAACAATTGTCCATATAATTATCGAGTTCTAATAAAAATCAAGTGTTTTAACACAATTTTATTTTGTTCGTAGATATCTAGAACCGCCGGTTAAAGTACAAACGTCTTTCCGAATCAGCGGTTAGCGGAGTTGCCATCGATTTCGTGAAATCTTGACACGAGGATTATTAATCAATTCGTAAATAAACGCGTTTGGTATAGATAAATTTTCCAATCTACAGGCTTTTGAATCAAAAGAAGTAGACGTAAGAACTCGAGACCGATCATAGCACCGTGAGTATTATCTAAAATTATTTGTAAGATCACTAATTTAATAACAGTAATAGGAACAGTCAAGAATTTTATCCGCTGGAGTTACTGTAAATCTCAAGGTCACGCTCTCCTACGTGATCGACCCGACAATAGCATTATTCCCATTCTGTCCACCTTCTTTAAATGTTTTGCGCCTTTATTTAAATTAATTTGTTCCCGTACTGCTTCATCTTGAATATCAAACAAATGTACTTTACGCAGACTGAGATAATAGCTTATTTATCTGTTGGTCGGAATGTGGGTGTGCTCAATTGTAACTGTAATGAGCAGTAGCGTCAATGCTACAATAATCAGCTTTACCTCCTGTCACAAGATAATTCTCGTCTACCGATTTTCTTTGTTCTTCCGCTAGTTTTGTAATAGTTTCTCTCTAATTTGGCCCTTACCAAATGCTATTTGTATTTTCTCAGTAAGTCTCTCGTCTCTTCTTCCCTACGAGCATTATAATGTAAGCAGTTCAAAAATATTGACAAGTGTCATAATTTGCGGAATGCATCGTATCTTAACATGCTATTGTTTTCGAGACCTGCGATAAAATCGCGATAGAACAATTTATATCTCGTTTCTGCTGGCGAAAATACAAGAGATTGAGTAATTTGGTTGATGGTCCATAAAATTCTTCACGAATGTAGCAATATTTTTATCTTAGCTTTCCATCGTGGCTCTTGTCTGATGTTGCCGTGAATGCGTGACGCTGTACCATTCGTCACCATGTGATTTCTGACATTCATTATCAAAATAAGTGGGACAAGTGGCAATATCTTTGGTTCACACAACATATTAGGATATGTTTCTGGAAAAGAGGTGTATTGTGATCTCAATAGTAAAAAGTTTTTCTAATAATACGTTTCTTTTTAAGACGTCGGCTGGCAGTTATTCCTCCACCATTCATTACTTTCGACTGAGCCAATAAAGATATATCTTGTTCAGTAATTCATAAATGCTTTTAATCGCAATTGTTAATTTATCTAGTAAGCAATAAAGCTTAGTCATAAGTTATCGCTAACCAACTGTGCTTTCCAATCGTATAATTTATATTGTGGATTATAATCATACTATTTGTTGTAACACAGCGGTTTGGTTGACTTATAATAAATCGGTCAACTTATCAAAATTTTTAAAGAGTGAGAAAAGAAGTTGGCCGAGTTCGACTATTAAAGTATGACTATGTACTTGCGCTCAATTTTATTAAAGATTTTACGGAACATGAAGAGCTTTAGCGTAGAATTATTCGCGTCTTCATTAAAGTGGAGACTTTTGTTCCCGCAATATACAAACCATCAAAACATGCAAATAGTTATTTTGATTCTCTGTCAATACACATAAAATTGATATCGCCAATCAAGTCCCAAGTTACGTGAAAAAAATGTATAAGGACACAGAAATATATTAATGCTAGCAGCATGGTAACAACAATATATACTAAATAACTAATGTTGACATTGCTGTGCTGTTTATTATGCCATATATTGCATTTACTAGACTATTGTTCATTACCAGTGTTTAATAATTTCTCCTCTACTACTTATTCTCTATCATAGCTTTCAATGTAAATGTAATGCTGCACATCACATGTTTTTATCAGCTGCTTTAGATATAATTTACTGCTTATATCTTTTTCCTACCAATTACATTTTTATCAATAGCAATAAACCAAGTTTATTCTGTGCAATCAGCATGTCCTTGTTCAGTAGCTTTTTGATATAATTCAAAAAAAAAATTTTTTCTACTCCATCCCATTTTCCTAAGAGTATACTGTGCATCAGCATGTCCTTGTTTAGCAGCTTTTTGATCTAATTCAACTGCCTTTTCAACATCTTTTACCATTCCACTTCATGCATTTGATAAGCACTGCCATTATTATTTTTCCAGGACTGTAATTACCGTAAAACTCCAACATGTGTACCTGGGGTATTTCCCTAATTTATTTTAGTATCCTGGGTACTCCTGTAGGGGGTACACCGTATTAATCAGGCACATCTCCCCGACACATAATTACTGATTGGACAAAAAAAGTGTGACACGACGCGAGACATACAGACTAAGTGCACGCTCTCTAAATGCACACCCTCCCTAAATGCACGGTTTGGCACGGCCCCGAGCTTGGGACTTAGTGATAAATGCACACTCTCTGTATTCTGCACGTGCAATGATTTTTCGGTCCTGTCCATATAAACTATAATAATAATCCCCTAAATGACCCACGTGATCGATGTTTCTATTGACCAATTATATTATTAACATTCTCTTTGTACTTGAAATTTGAGTCATCATTGTTAAATTATCTTGAGTGTTAATTTTGTAGTGTAGTTGCTAATACTCGTAGTTCATGGCGGTTGTTGTTCATGATTGTTGTGGCTGTTCAATTGGCCCGTATTAATACATGCATCTTAGATAGTCGTTGTTATAATTTGTATTATATAATGAGAAGGTAAATTTGGACAACGTGTAGTGTTTGTTATAATCGTTGTTCTGTCAATTCGTCCGTATTAACACAAGTATCTTTGAAGGTGAATTGGGACAACGTATAGACGTTTAAAGAAGACAATGATGAGGGTAATGCTGAAGAATGCTGAGATTACAACTATTAGTACCAGTAGTGCATTAACAAGTTTAGGAAATGTACGCTTATTTTTGTTACAGCAAGAAGACACAGGCGAACAGATGAGACTGTTAAACAATCTTGAAAGATTTGTTAGTGGGGAAAAAAGTAGTCAAATGAACAAACAACCATAAATCAATATTTTTATTAATTTCGTTGCGTTACACAAATAAATATTTTCTCTAAATTGCACGTCCCAATGGCGTGCACTTAGTATTAGAGAGGTTTCTCTGTATCACCAGCTAACATATACGAGAAACACCATATTTGAGGCAGAGAAAGTAACGCTTGATCTTTTCAACTGTTTCTTCTACTAGTATAAACACGGTAGGAGATAGTGAGTCGTTCTTTGAGAGAGCAATTTCCGATATAAATTATATTCTTAGCATTAGGTCAGACAGAAGCGTTTAAACATTATCTATATATCGCTTGACATAAATCGAAGCCTGCTTGTACTTCGGGAACGAAAATGGGGATTTGGGGGAACGCCGAAAATATTGTTTTCGGCGTCGTGGTACAGAAGACGATCAGATTGCATCATTCAATGACGAAATTTTGACATTTTTGTCGTCATCGACCAGAATTTTCAGGGACTCTATTCACAAAAAACCGCCAAGTCATAATGCCAGCATTAAATATAATTGAGTAATAATATTACTATTACAAGAGTCTATAACAGGATCGTAAATCCTATTGCTTTTATTCAATTACAATGGCTCTTCAATCCCTAGATTAAGCAATAAATACCTTTTACGTGTATGAAATACACTGTTAATTAAGAATAGAAGTTGCATTGTCCGCGTTGATACCAGCACCATTTTCGCGTATTTAATCAACAACTTCTTTGCTTTTTTTATCAAATTTGGAAATTAATACATGAAACGAACCAAACAACGTTTATGGTTGATAGAATCCTATTAGCTCGTCGTTTGTAATTTCTTCCACCAGTGTGGTCTAATCCTTGGTAAAGAATATAAAAAGTGCTCGCCGAACCGAGAGTTGAAGCCACCTCTCTAAAGTAAGAGTTTGAGCCCTTCTGACTTCTTACTATGAACCAAATATCCGTAAATTTCAAATTCCAGTTATTGGACAGTGCTTAAAAGCCTTCGCTCTACATTTAACATCGAGATCAAACTCCACATTTGCCAATTGCCGCTGACTTGGCAATCCAGTAAAAGTAAAAATTGTGGCTTAGCTCTATGAAATGCACTACTCTAAAGTGTAGCCAGAATTATGTCCTAGGCCTCAGACCTGAAAAGTAATTATATACTATAATTGAGACATGTTACGATTACGGAGACTTCATATAGCTATTGAATCGGTTTTTCTCGTCCCTTTCATTCTGGCAATCATCGGTATTTCCCGTATTACTATTTTGAAAAAATTTATTTATGATTAATCCTCTATTCTATACTTCCACTCGTAAGCTGATGTTTGCTTCTTCGTTTGACGCAAATACTGATTGATCTTCCCCGTATTTAATATTAACGTTATTTAGTTTCCCCGT